CACCTTCTACTTTCCCCAAATTCTCAAACCATTTTCAGTATCAAAGATGAAAGTTAAAGCTTCTCACTCCTTGCTATGACCCTTGCTCCTTTCCAGACCTTACATTTCCCACCTGTAAAATGCCGTAAGTTATTCATTCCAGGGAAAACAAGAGGAGGGAGAGAAGGGGGAAACCCCAGATCTACAGACAATTATTGTTTCCCAGGCTAAGGATATTCCAGCTTATTACCTTGACTCCTTGAGGAGATGCCATCCATCCCTGGAGACTGGAGCTTGTGCCCAGAGTGTCTCACACACTGGATCAGGGTTCCTATGCATAGATCCCACTTCTCCAACAGGGACAAGGAAACCTTCCTGGCCAATGCTTCTCTATCAGGTTCTCGGAGCAGAGCCTGGTGGTACTCTTTGGAGAGGAGGTCCTTTTCCAGAAGACCATCTAGAAAGCCCTGTACCTGGGCAGGCCAAGCACTGGAGAGCAATGCTCTCACCTGGGGCAGGATTGCTTTGAACTGGTCCATGACCGTGCAAAGGTACAGCAGGGCTCCCCAACTCTGAGCTCAAATCTCTGCTCTCCAGGAGAAGCCACCCAGACAACAGCATCCAAAAGATGAAGTGAGAAATTTGACAACTCAACCCACACACTTTATTCACAAAGAGGAATATTTCCTCATTTGATTTCAGGCTGTGGGGACAGTTGTGTAGTGGAAAGAGCATGAGACTTGCAGACAGGAGACATGAGTAGGAAGCTGACTTAATCTCTTTGAGCCTCAGTTTCCCAATCTGTAAAAATGGAGGTAATAATACGTGTGCTCCCTTCTTCACAAGGCTATGAGGAAAGTATTTTGTAAACCTTAAAATGCAATTTTTATATCTAATGGTATTATTATTCCAACCTGGGGTCAGCTATTTCTTGATTTTGACCAGAGCCTGTAGTGGATTGAACCTGATTCAGGCTAGTGCCCTGGTCGTTTAGGTCTAATGTTTGATTGAGATGTTTGATTATAGTTCCTGCAAGTTAACAAAAGGAGGAATACTTAGCCATAGCATAGATAGGATAGAAAACTCAGCTTAGGTGTCCACTTCTCTCAAACTGAAACATGTTTAGTCAGCAGGGGAGGGTGTAGTAATTTGGGATAGCATAGTGTAAAACAGTCTTGGGATATTCCCCAAGTGTGAAAAGCACCAAACTCCATTTAGGCAGATCTTTTATTTCCTTAGGTGAATGGGAAGCTACACAACTATATCTTGAGGCTACCAGAAATCTGCCTTCAACAGCTAGATGTTTAAGACCTAGACAGGACTTAATATCCTGAGTTAGTCAAGTCTGAGGTACAGCTTTTTTGACTTTTCAGAAAAGAACTTGCCTAAATCAGCAGACAGAAGGGGATGGTACCCTGGTCTATTAAATACTCTTATTTTTCTAGGGGTAATTAGAAGCTAGTAGAACTTCTTGAGCAAAGGAATAACATAGATCTGTGTTTTAGGAACATCAGCTTGGCAGCTTACTAAATACTTCTAGAGAAAGGGACTCTATCTCACGGGATCACCAACTTCACACATTTCATATTTTCCTGCTTTGATCTTCAAGCCTCAGACTTTGGTCCAACCTAGCTCACAGCATGATGGTGGGGACACATGTGATCATTAATGCCATCTCAACTGTCTTGTTCAGTTTCATTACTTTAAACTCACTCTTTGTAGATGTCACACATACATACAAATTGTGTATTAATACCAGATTAGAAATGTAGGTTCCATTCAAGAGTAGTTGCTCCAGAAACACTTTTTGAATGATTAAACACACCCCAGCCACTGTGCTAGCTGCTAAGGGTGGTGGTGGTAACAAGGAAAGTACACAAAAATACCTGCCCCAAGTTTCTTCGTTTATTCTTCCTTTACTTGTAAAACGAATCCATTGCATCAGTTGGGCTCTAAGGCCCTTTCCAGTTATGACATGTTATGATTAGTCATCTTTGGAGCCCTTTCAATTCTTACCACAGTGCCTCATGAATAGCAGTTCCTATGTATTGAAGGGTGTTGTGTGTGAATGAAGGAATCACATAACGATACTCTTTATTGAAGAATTAGAAGCATTTCATCAGTGCAAAAGATGACCATTTTTCTCAGATAAATTTTTATTGTTATTAATATTTTTATTGATGTTGATAACATAAATTTGAAGTTTTTTCTGAATTTAATTGCGAATAAAATAAGCATTTCCATATACAAAGTGGAAAAAAAAGAATTGTACATGAAACTTTAAATCCCTATTATTAAGGCTTATTTTTATTTTTTGAGCATATAATAAATTCAACATGTAACTTTCAAAGCTATTCTGCTTTTCTGTGTTTCTTTCTGCTCTTCCTTCTCTTCTGGGCATAAAAAAACCCACTTCCATGACAATACTTCTTTCCTTCCTTCCTTCCTTCCTTCCTTCCCTCCTTCCTTCCTTCCTTCCTTCCTTCCTTCTTCCTTCCTTCCTTCCTTCCTTCCTTCCTCCTTCCTTCCTTCTTCCTCTCTCTCTCTCTCTCTCTCTCTCTCTCTCTCTCTCTCTCTCTCTCTCTCTCTCTTTCTTTCTTTCTTTCTCCCTTCCACCTCTCTCCCTCAGTTGAAAAGCAAAAAAACTCTCAAAAATTTTGTAAGACAATGCCTGGAATATAGTGAATGCTTAATGAATGTTTGTTGATTAACTGACTGAGTCAAGCACAATGAATTCGCACATAATGTATGTCTCATTTTCTACCTTGCAGCTCAAAGAATTCTGATGCCAATTCTTGGTAACAGCATATGGCCCAGAGACAATAACTATCAGTCACTTGTGGTTGGACAGGAAATCTCCTGATGAGATGACAAATATCAAGAAATATTGCTTTCTGAAATATTGACAAGATGTAACATCCCTGTAGTTCCATATGGTTGGCACTGGTTTGTGCAGTAGCTGTGAGCCCACCCTTGTTGCAAAGAGGTTGGTTTTGATTTGACGGTGAACATCTACTCAGTGCTCTGTTCCAGCCACTGTAGGGAGTGGGAGAGATAAAAAAAAAAGTATACCATATGATTGAAATATGGCACTGCTACAGTCACTTAACTCCTTTGTGTCCCAGTTTCATCTGTAAAGTGATGTGACTGTACCAGACGGTTTTTAAGGTCCCTTCCCACTCTTTATCTATATAATTCTATGATCTCTGCACCTAAAGAGGTGCTAATCTAGTTTGAGTGATAAGATTGTTCCATGCATTACACAGAATTTAATTAATAACATAATCAGCATCTCAATAACACCAAAGTAATAAGATGATACTAAAAAAGCTCTGGGAGTTCGGAAGGATGGGGAATGGAGAGATCACTGTAGACAGAAGATAGGGAGTGGGAAAGAGGTAGTAATTTAGATGAGCTTTGCAGGATGTTGGATGGAGAGGTGGGGGAGGAAGGAATAGCATGAGCAAAGACCAGGAAACAGAAATGGTCATTGTAAATTCCGGGGACAGTGAATAAATAATTTGGTTGGATTAGAGGTTGTATACTAGGAGATAGGTAGGAAGGATAAATTGAAGGCTCTATCCTACAGGTCAACAAGCTTCAGAGACATTTTTATTGCTTACTCCTATAAATACAGTTCTGAATATGTATATACCCCTAATATATGTTTGTTTATTTGTAAATTATATACATGTAGTTCTGTACTCATAAATTATGTATATTATAACATATATACTCAAAAGACATTTAAAAGGATGAGATAAAGATGAAATAAACTATTTTAAAAGATTTTATTTACTTATTTAATTTGTTTATTAATGTACAATACTTTATTTTCACTAAAATTATTCATTAACTTAAACTATTTTTAGTGATAGCAATATGATTGCATATGCTTTGTTATTTTAGTTTAGTTTCGTTTTGTTTTTTTGAGACTGAGTCTCCTTATCTTGCTTAGCCTATGGACACTCACAGCCTGACCTCAATGTATATTGGTTATGGAAACTTCAACATGCTCCATTTTTCCAGCCAGAGCTGTTTTACCCCTTCTTCTTCTTTTTCTTTTTGGTGAGGCAATCAGGGTTAAGTGACTTGCCCAGGATCACACAGCTAGTAAGTGTCAAGTATCCAAGGTCACATTTGAACTCAGGTCCTCCTGACTCCAAGGCCAGAGCTCTATCTACTGTGCCACCTAGCTGCCTCTGGTTTACCTCTTCTTAAGCAGTCTGATGGTCCTCTGCTACTGACAGCTCACCATAGTAGTGCTGACTTAGTGGTGGGCCCAGGGTCTCTCAGCAAGAATGTTTGGGGGGCAGAACTTGAACACAAGTCTTGACTTGGAGACTGACTCCACATTATAGCACACTGCCTCTCACGTAACTTGTAAAATATTTCTTTCCTATGGAGTTTTTTTTCTTTTAATTGAAGCAAAATGCTCTCTTCAAAAACAGAAATGATAAAAATGAACAAAACTAAGTCCATCATTATAAGATATGCCCAAGTTTCACACCAGTCTGATTTTGGGGAAGAGTGTGGCTTATACTAACAACCACATGGTTGTGATGTGGGTGTTGAGGAAGTTTGGGGCTGGGAATTAGGATGTCAGTATTTGAGTCCCAGCTCCTCCATAAGCTTGTTTCATGAACTTGGACAAATAACTTTGCCTATCTCAGCCTCAGTTTCCTTCCCTGTGAAATAAGGTTGCTAGATCAGATGATTGTGGGTCTGTTCCAGTTTTGAAATGCTACATTTTAGAGAGAAGAAATCAATAAAAAGTTCATCTTACAGGCCCTGAGACAGGAGAGGTTGGCTTCTTAGAGCAGGCTAAGAAAACCATTATACTGTTAAGCCAGTAGACTGTATTCATGAGTATAGGTCACTACTACTTATCCACTGCCACCACCTCTTCCCAAGGTGAAGAAAAAAATGTGTCATTTTCTCTTCCCTCAACACTGTCTTCTCCTTCTCAAGCTTCCTGCTTGTCCCCTGAGGGAGTTTTAGCCTGCCTCCCCCACCTAACACCATCAAGAAATCATCAGTAGAATCATCTCTGCTACTTTTTCAACCTCTATGGGATTGGCCTAGCTTGTGCTGCTCTATTGAAGGATGGGAAGACTCAGAAATGCAGTTTGGAAGGTAGATGAGCCCCAGACTACTGTATATCCTTCTCCCCTTGGGTAAGGAAGGAAAGGGGAAGGGAGGAATTTTTTCAGGAGGGTGGAAAGACAGCAGCCCAATCTAGGACTCTGGTGGTATGGAAACTCAGTCCCCAATGCCAAAGCCAGTTCTTAGCCAGCCACAAACATCTCTCCAGACCCTATAGGTCTGTTTCTTCCACATTTTTACCCTGTTGCTTACGTAAGTAGAGAACAGCCTGAAACAGAATCTGTTATTTTTTTCCCTTTCTTTTTGTAGCTGTCCACAGACTTCTGGCTGGTTGTGTGAGGTGATATCACCTCTGAGTCATTTTGGCCACCGAAGGCGGATGCAACTTGCTGACTTTCACTTCTGGATTTTCCCCTATGGGCACCTGAAGTTTTTTCTTGGCCTCATGACTATGAGTGGCAGGTAAGAGCTGGGCTCAGGGACTCAGGGAATCCGAAGGCTCTGTTTCAACCCGACTGACAAACTGGTATCAAATCTGGCCTCTGAAATATACTGGCTGTGTGACCCTGGTCACTGTTTTAGTACCATAGCAACCCTCTATTGCAGAGCAGGTGCTGATCTGCATTAGAAGGGGTGGGAGTTTCCTCATGGAAGTTCCCATTACTAACAAAAGCACATAGGTCTGTGTCCCCTTCCCCCTCAGATTATAACTATTATTATTCTCCTACTACAATGTAATAATCAGCTGAAGTTCGATGATCAACTCTACAATAATGCAATGTAATGACCAGTTATATGCCAAGAATCTGTTATTTCATATCTATATCATTACAATATATCTGTAAGTGACTGGACTGAACGCATCAGAGTCCTAGAAAGTAGCCTAGTAACATAGAGAATGTGGCTTGATCTGTCTGAGTCTGCTCTCAAGTGTCCGTCGGGATGAATTTTGGATGCAGTAGAATCATAAGATTTAGAGGTGGAGGAAATTTCAGATAACATCTGGTAGTATGACCTCCGCCCTCCCCACCATTTTTATTATTGTTCAGTCATTCAGACATGCCTTACTGTTTGTTACCCCACGGACCATAGCATGCCAGGCCCTTCTATCTTCCACTATCTCCCAAAGTCTGTCCAAGTTCATGTTCATTGTTTCCATGACACTATCTCTCCATCTCATCCTCTGCTATCCCCTTTTCCTTTTGCCTTCAGTCTTTCCAGACATCAAAATCTTTTTCAGTGAGCCCTGTGTTCTCATTGTTTCCAAAGAAATTAAGCTTTAGCTTTAGTATTTGACCTTCCAGTGAATAGTCTGAATTAATTTCTTTAAGTATTGACTAATTTGACTTGCTGTCTCAAAAATCTTCTCCAGCACCTCATTTTGAAAACATCAATTCTGTGGCAGTCAGCTTTCCTTGTAGTTCAACTCTCACAGCCATAAATTGCTACTGGAAAAATCATAACTTTGACCATACAGACCTTTGTTGGCAAAGTGATGTCTCTGCTTTTTAGTGTGCTGTCCAGATTTGCCATAGCTTTCCTTCCAAGGAACAGTCTTTTAATTTTGTGACTGCAGACACCATCTGCAGTGTTCTTTGAGCCCAAGAATACAAAATCTGACATTGCTTCCATTTCAGTTTGCCTGGAAGTGGTGGAATCACTTGCCTTGATCAGAATTTTTTGATGTTAAGCTTCAAGATAGCTTTTACGCTCTTCTTTCACTCTCATCAGGAAGCTTCTTAATTCTTATTTGCTTTCTGCCATCAGAATGGTATTGTCTGCATATCTGAGATTGTTGGTATTTCTCCTGACAACCTTAATTCCGACTTTTGATTCTGGCATTTTGCATGATGTAATCTGCATATAAGTTAAATAAGTAAGTAACAACACACAGCCTTGTCTTACTCCTTTTCTAATCTTAAACCAATCAATTGTTTCATGTTCAGTTCTAACTATTGCTCCTTGGACCACATACAGGTTCCTCAAGAGAAAAGTAAGATGACCTGCGACTTCCATCTCTTTGAGGACTTGCCACATTTTGTTGTGATCCACATAGTCAGAGGCTTTATTGCAGCCAACGAAGCAGAAGTAGATGTTTTTCATGTTTTTGCTTTCTCCGTGATCCAGCAGATGTTGGCAGTTTGGTCTCTAGTTCCTCTGCCTCTTCAAAAAACCATCCTGCTTTCCTGGTAATTCTTGGTTCACATATTGCTGACGCTTAGCTTGCAGAATCTTAAGCATAATCTTGCTGGTGTGTGCAATTGTTCGATAATTTGAACATTTCTTGGCATTGCCCTTCTTTAGGATTGGAGATAAACTGATCATTAGCACTGGTGGCCACTGTTGAGATTTCCAAAATTTCTGGCATGCTGAGTGCAGCTCTTTAATAGCATCATCTTTTAGCATTTAAAATAGCTCAGCTGGAATTCCATCACTTTCACTAGCCTTTTACAGATGATAAAATGAGGCTCAGAAAGGTTAAGGGACTTGTCCAAGGTCACCAGAGGTAGCAAAGAGCAGAATGAGTATCTGAACAGCATTCTATTAGTAGTTAAGGCAAAAAGGGAAATGGTTTAGATTGTATAGTTCTCATTGTCTGGCAAAAGGAAGCATACAAATTTGTGTTCTAGAGTGGTGAAGTAACTTGCCCAGGGTCATTCAGCTAGTTAAGTGTTTGAGACTAAATTTGAACTCAGATCTTTTCTACTCCAGAGTCAGAACTCTAGCTACTATCCTACCTAGCTGGCACCTGAACTTTTCTCAGCTTTCTAGTTTTCCCCACAGTTTTTGTCAATAGTAAATTCTTGTCCTAACAGCTGGGATCTTTGGGTTTATCAAATACTAGACTATTGTGTTCACCCTCTCTATTTCTTAATCAGTACCAAATCATTTTTAAGATTATTCTTTTTACAGTAAAATTTGAGGTCTGGTACTGCTAAACCCTTTTCCTTCCCACTTTTTAAAAAAAAAATTATTTCTCTTGAGATTCTTGACCTTTTATTCTTCCAAATGAATTTCATTATTTTTTTTCCCTAGCTTTGTCAAGTAATCCTTTGGTAATTTGATTGGTATGACACTGAATAAATGAATTAATTTAGGTAGTGTTATATATAATGCTGGTTCTTGGTCTTAGATAAGTATTACCTATTATATTGAGAAAAATATATTTATTCTTAGGCTTTACAGTGTTTTTATAAACAGGAATTGTGTTGTAACTTGTCAAAAAGTTTTCAGTGTCTATTGATATGACCATATGATTTTTGTTTTTCTTGTTATTCATATGATCAATCATTTTTATCCTTTTCCTAATAATGAACCAGCCCTGAATTCCTGGCATAAATCCAAACTAGTCAAAGTATATTCATGATCTTTGTGATATGTTGCTTTAGTCTCTGATAACATTTTATGGGATTTATAGTTTATGGCTTTATAGTTTTCTTTCTTTCTTTTGACTCTCTATGGTCTAGGCATCAAGACCATATATGTATCATGGAAGGAATTTGTTAGCACCTTTTCTTTTCCCATTTTTTCAAACAAATTATATGATATTGGGATTATTTTTGGCAAAGCAGTTGGGGTTAAGTGACTTGCCCAGGGTCACATAGCTAAATATTGGGATTCTTTAAACATTTTGTAGAATACACTTATAAATCCATCTGGTCCCAGGGTTTTCTGCTGTCTTAACTTTCAAGAACTAAATCACTCTCATACTACAATGAGACAATAGAGGACAATTTGAATAAGGTGCTTTTGTACTCCCACTTTATTTTTATATATCAATAACATTTCTAATTCTATGTAGTAATTATGATAATACTAACCTCCTCATATTTATATGTTCCTTTTAAGTTTTCAGGGCATTTTTACATCCATTATTGAATGTAGTCTCATAGTGTTTTATTATTGTTGTTGTTGTTTTTATCATCATTATTATCATCCTCATCATTTCATTCTTTCTATCTTTTGAGGGGATTGAGAATAAAATGGTTTGGGGGCAAGTCACTGTCCAGCTTTTATTCTTTTATATTTAGTGCTCCATAGACTATTTCACAGCTGGATAAGATAACTGAATTTTGTAGTTGAATAAGTATTAAGATGTAAATTCAACTTCTATAGGCTCACTGAAAACATCCTTAGTACAATTTCAGTAACAGATAAGATGATAACCTAAGTAACCTACCGTGGACCTCATCCTCTTCCCTTATGATTTTGATCTCTCAATATTTAAAGGCTTTCATTCTAGGTAGCTTGAAGATTATAAATTCTTGGTGTGGTGATCTCTATTATTGTTTTGTTAGTAGTAATTCAACTTAGAGATGTCAAGGGCTGACAAATCCAGGACCTCATATCACCATGGTTTCTAGCAATGTCATTGAAGAAAATAATAATGATGATAATTATTGGGCATATAATTATCTGTGCTTCAGTTTATCCATCTGTAAAATGAGGGGATTGAATTAGTGGACCTAAAAGGCACCTTCTACTTCTAAATCTGTGGTTCTTATATCTGAAAAATACTTTTAAATTGCTTTCATATGTTATTTCATGTGACCTTCACAAAACACTGAGAGTTGTTATGGCCAAAAAAAATCATCCCCCACTAGATAACCTGGTGAAAAGCCCTTGCTGAACATCATTATTCTGATACTTTAATGACAGGTGTTTTTTGAAAAATAAAATCAGTGAACTTAAAACTAGAAGGAAAAAATTAATTGGGAAAAAAATTTTGCAGCAACTTCTCAGATTAAGGTTTAACTTCTAAGATAAGTAGGGAATTGATTCAAATCTATAAGAACAACAGGCACTCCCCAATATAAAATCCATGCAGCCTGAGGTTACTTTTATTTTATTTTTCATTCTGGAGGTGATCTCCATATTCTTTTGGTTGGCACTTTGTTTTCTGTGTTCAGAAGTTCTGGGAAGTTTTCCTGCATTAATTCATGCATTATGGTTTTCAATTTTTTTGTACTCATCATGTTCTTCTGGAGGCCTGTGATCTGTAAGTTGTTTATATGTACCGTTTTGCTTGCCTAGAGATCATGCATTCTTTTTTTAAAAAAAATTAATACTATTTTATTTTCCTGATTACACATAAGGACAATTTTAACATTCATTTTAAACAAAATTTTGAATTCCAAATTTTTTCCCTCCCTAAGACAGTAAGCAACTTGATATAGGGTATATATGTGAAATCATGTAAAACATATTTCCATATTAATCATGTTGTGAAAGAAGAAACAGAACAAAATGGAAAAACACAAAAAAATAAAGTGAAAATAATATGATTTGATCTATATCCAGACTCTACCAGTTCTTTCTCTGGATGTGGATAGAATTTTCCATCATGAGTCTTTTGAAATTGTCTTGGATCATTGCATTGCTGAGAAGAGCTAAGTCAATCACTTGATCATCGTACAATGTTGCTGTTATTGTGTCTAGTATTCTCCTGGTTCTGCTCACTT